GGTTTCCAGCTACGTAAGTGGGCCTCAAATGATGAAGCTGTCCTTGATGGAATTCCATCTGAAAACCGTGCCGTGCAGACATCAGGAGACCTTCACCGTGACCAGGTAAGCAAAACACTCGGTCTCTACTGGGAGATATCAACTGACTGCCTTCGCTACAAAATTGAATTACCGTTGGACTCAGCACCCTCTTTGACCCGCTCGGCTTAGTGGGTCCAGTTGTTACGACCGCTAAAGTGGACTTTGAAGGACGAAAAGGGAGCACTTTGGAGTTGGGATCGTGAACTACCAAATGAGTACCAGACGCGATGGATCAATTATCTGTCACTGCTGCCAAACCTGAACAACCAGAACCTGAAACCGTCCAAGTCCACATTTTTGCATGAACACTTTAGCGGTCGTAACAACTGGACCCACTAAGCCGAGCGGGTCAAAGAGGCGTGCAATAAGCGAGAGGGCGAGCCGTTTGGTGAGTAGATTTGCTGAGTCCGACGGCAATTCAATTTTGTAGCGCAGGCAGTCAGTTGATATCTGCCAGTAGAGACCGAGTGTTTTGATTGATTTTTAAATTGGTGGCGTAGTGGTTAGCGTTCGTAGATCGCATGCCGAATACACGGGTTCGAATCCAGGAACTCGCTCTATAATTTTGTTTATGTTTGGATAGAATATTGATGCACTGCATAAATATAATAATTATGATTTATTTGAGTCACTGATCATTTCACATTTACGTAAATTAAATTGTGTTACTAATAAAGACTTGTGCGGATTGCTTCATGTGGACTATGACGGACCTTTTAAGATACTTTAAAGTTGCTAAGAAGCTCCGCTGGTAATTTGTTCGGAACTTTATTATGGTCATATTTTCAGCCTTGCCAGAAGTTCCTAAGAAGTGCTTAGGGATGCTTTTGGATCTTTTTTTTTTAACTTCAAGTTGCTAGGAGTAGGCATCGGAACTTTTTGGAGCCTGAAGTTCCTCGTGTGCTTTCTATAGCTTCTAAAGTAGCCAGACGTTGTGTTGGAACTTTATATGTACTTTATGGAACTTTAAAGTAGGTTTTATCGTTGAATGCGGAACTTTTGATTGCTTGGGAAGAAAGTTTAGTCGAAACTTTATTTAAATGTTATGGAACTTGAAAGTTCTGTCAGAACCAGAGCTGGAAAATTTCATTTTCAATAAAAGATCTCACGCGATATTTACAGAGATACTTCTGTCACCGGATGAAAAAACGATGACAGAGATTTTCTTCAAAATCCCATCGATTTTGTTGTCATGACAGAACGTGACAGTGCTGTGATCATCGTGATTACTAGCTAATGTATTACTATTAAAGTTACTGGTACCAAGGAAATCTTAAAAAATATATTCACTCTACCGATTACAAACGGTTACTTGTTTAATTTCATCTAAATCAGTTAGAAATGTTGATGTCAAAACTTCATAAGGATTATTCTCATGAGTGCTTGATCATTGGAAAATGGCAAGAAAGCAGATGATCGGTCGCTTCGTCTCGTGATAGTGAGAGGACCTGTTTTCTCATCGTCACTTAACGGCCGTGATATTTACCAGCTCTGGTCGGAACTAGATGTGAACTTTATGGAACTTGGAAGTGAGTTTTATCGTTGAATGCGGAACTTTTGTGAGTAGAATTTTACCAAAATTTGAAAAACAACTATGCAGTTTGACAGAAATCTCGACAAATATTTGAAAAGGACCCATGACCCAAGTGTAAACAATAACTTGAAACGTCGATTTCACACGAATCACAAAATACTCACGCAATCTAACTGAAAAATCAGGTAGATAACAGTTTACTTTATCATATGGTGTAGTTGGATTACGTGAGAGTCTTGTGATTCATGATCAACGTTTCAAGTCATTGTTTACAGTTTGCTTATGGCCTCTTTTCAAATGTTCGTGGTACTCTCTGTTTGCAGTAGCTCTGCAAACAAGAAGTGTATATTTTATGGAAGCTGACATTTGTGCTTTTGAAGTTTCACACTTCCTTAGAGTATCACCATAAATGACTCATTTGACCTAGTGAACTCTTTGGCCTGATGGCGTTCTCAGCTTGATGGCATCTGGCCTAATCTTCCATTATCCAAAAAATTGGCCACCCAATTTCGAAACCTGGCTACGCCCACGAAACTTTCTTCATAACGCCCTGAATTTCACTCGTTCGCTCTCCGGTCACCAACAAATGACAAACGGAAATGCCCTTTGGCGAATATCCAATTAGCCGTGCAGTCACGATTCCGTCGAACGAAGCTGAAGTTGGCCACCGATATCTGGCCGGAAGATTCACGCCTACCGATAAGACAGGCGTTTGTGTGTGTGTAGAGAAAATCTCCCCCGGCTCAGAGAAGATGTGCTCATGGCCGCATTCTTAGGGGGATTGTGCTTACATGTGATGCGTGAACGACATCTCCTATAAACGCTAAGCGCCGGTTGTTCGGTCGGCCGTCGCCTGTAAGTTTAAAGATTAAAATCACATCAACAGCGGATTTTTCACGTCTGTCAGTGTCTCAGATGGGGAGAAGACCTAGTTCATTGAATCACTGGGGCTTGCGACTGTGAAGAACAATGTAGCCGATTCATATGGGCGATGGATGATTAATTGATGGAACCTGGTGGGCTCCTCCAGATCTGACACAATGTTTTGAGGGATTCTAGAGCTGTTGAGATAATCAGGAACAAGGCCCGGTTTGATTGGGAGTGACCCATATTAAAGTGGACCGGTCATCGAGCATGTTAGGCCTGTCACGTGCCGGCTCAATCGCATTCAGTTTTTGTCTTAATTCAAATGTATATTAGTAAACCGGAAAAGTTCATTTCGTGGGTTAGAGGTCAATGTGTTATTTCCTGTAAAAATGTCCAGAAAGCATTAATATATCTGAGGAAAGTAATAGCTAATGGAGTTGTGTTACCAAAAACGGGTAGGCACTGCACCTGGATTTTTTTTTGTTTTGAAAATTACTGGAAAATCATGGAATATCTGGGAATTTTATTTCTTCATTGAGTCAACACCCCTGGACTTTGCTAAAGATTTAGAAATTTCCCTGAATTTTTCTAAACTTCTGAGATCAGTTTGAAATTTCCTTGAAATTACTTGAGCTGCCCTTTCATTATCTGATCTGCCCAAGTTCACCACCAATGTCTTCAAAATGAAGATATGTCTTCAAATATGATGTCCCTAGTTTGAAGAAATCTCCTATTTTTAATCATTTTCGAAGGTAAAAAAAGCAGAACGTAAAAAAATAAAAACATACGATTTTTAAAACAAGTTTACAATCTTTACTCACTTCCCGGGATCCACTGCACTGCAAAATTTGCTGGAGTTCTCTAATGCTAAGTAAATCAACGCTCACTAATGTATAATTCCATTATTGCCCGACTTTTTCAACTTTGCACGAACCATCCAAACGTTCATCCTGTACCTTTCCACCGGTGGGCTGCCAAACTTTACCTCAACCATAATTTATAGCCAACCACAAAAAAACGGAATAAAATTGTTCCATGCATGATTCGCTGCTGGGTGCGTCGTCGAAGTCTCGGTCGTCGTCGTCGTTGTCGTCGTCGCGTCACCCGGTCTGTCCCAGAGGCATCCAATCCAGTCAGTTGATTTGCCTTCATTCCGCTTTTTTTTTTTGGTCACGCGCGTTGACACCTCGTTAAAAAGTGTAACGCAATAATTTGGCTCCTCAGGCAGGGCCTCCATTCGAATTTGTTGCAGCTGTTGATGCTGTTCCGCCAAGCACTTTTTCAATGATTTCAATTAATAGCAATTATTCAACATGGGAACGGGTTGGGCAATTTCACAACCAACGGAAGTTCATTCATTTTTAAAAAATAGCAGTTCATTTAGCCAAGTGTTTGCCTTCAGCAGTTGTCCTCCGCAAGCCTCCGCATATTTCAGGATCATCTCTTGTCGTGTAGAAAACCGGGTAAAAGTCATAATTCTCTGGCCGCATGCTGCACTCGGCTTAAGAAAGTGGCCGTCGTGGTTGGTGACAGACCGGGACAGTCCTCATCACCATATGCTAATGATGGTGACCCAATTGTTAGGGCTGACCCGTTTCGAACCACCTGCGCGTCGTCGTCGTCGTCGTCGGTCAGTCGCAATCTCAAGCAACAATGGGAACGCATCCAGAAAAGGCTAAGGCTAGTCGATTCAATTGGCTGACGCGGCTAGACTGCGTGGGTGACGACGACGACGACGAAGACGACGATGGGTGTTGTAATCGTAAACAGAAACCAGCGTAGGTTTGACTGACCGGTCCAAGTTCGTTATCTATTCAATGCTTAAATGGTACAAAAGGGCTGTCGCTTTTTGTTGGAGGGAATCTTCAAAGTCTGAATATTGATCGAGCTACAACCCATAACGGCATAACGGTACATTCGGCATTCCAGATCGATTCCATAATTCGATCGAAAATATCACCCACAGGGCACAGATTCTGATCGTAGGCTGTCTATGACATATTTCCTGAACCATTTACATTTTTCCCCTACTACCAATGCAGCGCCAGTAAAGTCATCTCATTCAAGCAGCCCACGAACAGCCAAAAACCCGGCCCAGGGGAGCCCTTCGTCTGCATGCCATGTGCGTCTTTGGGCGTTTTATGTTGCATTCACGACTTCCTATCTGTATACAACGCCCAGCCCAACCCGTCCGAGACGCTTATTAACACGTTTCGTGAAAGTTAATAAGAACAGCCCGGGAGGGGCAGAATTTATGGTACTACCATGAGGAGTCAAAATCGAAACGAAAATTCGACGCGATTGTAGCGACGTACCACGTACTAAACTCGCACATCCATGTATGGGGAGTTTCGAATTTCAACTTCCTACGATGAGCCCTTGCCGCAAAGTCCCGAAGGCGGAACCCGCATGCTGGGAAATTTATGAGATCGTTCCCATGATGAACTCTTACTGCCCCGAGCATTAAATCTTGAATCAGGACTAATTTTGAACTCGTCTTTCTTCCATTTAATTACAGGTAGCAGTACCAGTTTAGCTCCCTCCTTGCTGGGCTATTACGATTCGTTGGCCATCAAAGCGAGTGACGATCCAATCAACGGAAGCTCCGAAAATCAGAGTGCAACTACCGTTACAACTACGACGGTAAAAACCATAAATTCAGCAGCATCAATCAGTCAACAGACGACCATCTGCACTGAGCGAACGTTCCAATCCGGTTCATTGAAATTCAAATCCCTTGGTCTCAGTAACGGAGCAGCAAGTCTGCGACCCACCCGGGCAGCTCCACAACTGCCCAAGGCTGGCGACAAATTTCGCAATTTGTCCAACAACGTCCAGCGGATACTGTCCAACACGGAAGCATCCGTAGACGGCAAACAAAACCGGCCCCGGCCACCGCCGGTGCCATTCCACCGTAGTCCACTTCAGTCAGCTTCGTTCAACTCTGGACGCACGGCTACTTCCACTAGGCACGCGTTCAAAAACCTTCCACTGTCCAAAAACATCACCAAGCTCAGTCAGATAACCAGCGAGCAACCCACGACTCCAGAAGACTGTGATAATTCCCTCGACGAGGACATCCCCAAGCTGAGCTTCATTCAGCAGCGTATTAAATCGCTCACCTCGGCTCTTTTCGACAACGACGACGACGACGACGACAACGGCAACAAAATCGACCAACAACCTGCCAATTCCGTACAGGAAGACGTCGATCCGGAACCAGTTCTGAGAAATCCCGAAAAATCGATGGATGCCTTCGTGGAGAACTGTGACGAATCGGAGCATCGCAACACGATCGTGGAAACACGCAACCCCTATCTGAACCTAGTCGTCGTGGAACCTTCCCCGGAAGACGACCAACCCGAGCGAAAGCTGACTCCCTCCCGAGTGCAACAGCTCAACTCTTTCCCGCTAGCTCTCCCGATTTCCCCAAAACTCCCACGCTCCACGTCCACCTCCACTCCCAGCCTGGACACCAGCTCGGCATCCCTATCGTCGAGCAAAACCTCGCTCACTCAAACCCCGGGAACGCCCGTTCTCAGCACTCGGCCGCTGTCAGCGTCGTCCATTTGTTCGTACTCATCGAGCAGCAGTTCCGGATCGGAAAATCTGCTTCTAGTCAACGGGAAATTCTGTGCCGCTCCCTCGTACCAAGCGAGTGTGGAAAGTTTGGCCGATCAGAGTGAATGCGAGCAGGGGGGCAGCCCAACCAGTGGACTGACCATGTGCGAACGGGCCGTCTTGGAGATTATCGACTCGGAGCGGAGCTACGTCGAAGACCTCGGGCAGATAATTAAAGGGTGAGATTTTCTTTCCCTAAAGCTAACAAATACCAGTGAATTCCAACAACTCAACTCGTTTTTCAGCTACCTGGAAGATTGGAAGGAGCGCGCCTGCCTCAAGGTGGACGAACTGGACATCCTCTTCAGCAACATTCAGGAAATTTGGGAATTCAACACCCGGCTGCTGGCCTGCCTGAACGAAACCAAAGGCGACCCGGTCAAAATATCCGGCTGCTTCATCGACCTGCACGAGAACTTCCATTGCTACACAACCTACTGGTGAGTGGCTGATCAACCTGCCACCACACTCCATTTGGCGCGATGACTTGCCCAACAATCATCATCTCTGTCTATTCTAGCACCCGTTACCCGGAGGCGATCGCCCTGCTCACCAGCCTCCTGCAGGCCACCCACACGAACGCCCTGCTGATCCAAACCCAGAAGATGCTCAATCACAATCTGCCGCTGGGCTCGTACCTCCTGAAGCCGGTCCAACGGATACTCAAGTACCATCTGCTGCTCGATGTAAGTACTTACTATTGGCTTAACGACGCGTTACGTCAGGCGAAATCAATTTCAATCAGTGAATGCCGCCATCCATCGCCGTCGTCATCGTCGTCGCGCTCGGTGCATTAATGTGCTACGAAGGTCATCCCTTTCACGACCAGCCGGAGGCGGTGGAATGCATTCACTTTGCTGCTTTACTTTCGCGAGAGCGCGCAGGAACGAAGAAAGAATCAATTTAAATCGATAAATCATTCATTGAGCGTAGTAAAGTTGCAAGCTCATCGCCCGGCTATAAGCTTAATTATGTTTATTGCCCGGGCTTCCCTAGACCGGCCTAACTGTAATCAACTGTATAAACCTGAATGCTTGATTTCATTTCTAGAATCTGCGAAAACACTTCGACGATAAGCAGCAGGTGGCTCATGCTCACGAGCTGATGAAGAACGTGGCGCACAACATCGACCAGGTCAAGAAGAAGCTGGAGCAGCAGAGCCGGGTCAAGGAGCTGGCCGGGATTGTGGACGGGTGGCTTGGGCCGGATCTGTCGGTCTTGGGAGAACTGCGGCAGGAGGGGCTGCTGAGTGAACACGCCAAACCGCGGGTCGTGCTGCTGTTCCATACGATGCTCATCATCACCAAGCCCAAGGAGGACAAGCGGTTGCAGTTTCGTACTTATATTCCGGTGAGTTTAGAAGACGTTTTGCTTGTTTTGTTGTGGCGCGGGAAAGGGGGAAGTAGATTCCACGCTTAATATTCTGCTCCATTTGGTCTACGTAGAACCGCGTCGTTTGAGAACTTATTGAGGTCCAAGTTCAAAGATTGAGCTACGACGCGTCGTGACGTCCACGGTTAGCACAGAAAACTGAATTTATTTTTATATTAAACATGATAATAATTATTGTTCAATAGGATTTATTAACTGAGAATGGATCTTACAAGAGATTCTGTTTACCGTTACTGGTAAATGGTACATGGTAGTAACATTAAGTATTATTAGTTTTGAGCACACATTTTCAAATTTTCTATGTTGAATTGCTAAGCTCTAGGCTTCAATAGGTTATTATTGGTAAGATATTGTATCAGTGTTTTAAACGTGTTTTTACTTGTACTAAAAAAATTCTACGCGTTTGATCGAAGTGTTTATACACTTGATTTGCTAAATGCACAATCACATTTACTTTAAGTGCATTTCACCTTGGTTCAATTTAACGTTAATTTATAGTGTTTCAAACTTTGAAATGTTGGAAATCTTTCACTATCTTTTCAAGTGTATTGCACATTGAATCACACTACTGTTCAAAACAGATGGATTTAAAGTGATTTGCATTTCAATGCGTTGTGAATTGCTTGCTCAGAAAGGTCAACATCGAAAACAAGACTTGTGACTTTATCCTATCAACCCGCCTCATATATGAGAACAACCGTGGCATATTGAGATCGAACGAAGACTCCGGCATCAGCACACCCCAACAGTCCATGACCGAATCCCAAATCAGACCCATTAAAAAGATATGTGAAATCTCTGGCCCCAGGCAGTTTTGTTCATATATTTGTCGATTCATTTTTAGAGTCGGTAAAGTAGAAGTCGATAAAGTAGAATATTGTAGAATATTGAACTTCAGGGTGGCAAGTGAACCAGGAAATCCAGGAAAACCGGGAAAAAGTCGGGAATTTATTTTCACCAGGAAAAACCCAGGAATTTCATGAGTTCACCAAGAAAATAATCAAAATTTAAATTTACCCTGAGAATTTAGTAAACATATATTGTATTTATTTTTAATTTAATTTTTTTCTCGAATCAATTGCATGCATGATTTATGCTTAATTGATAGCAGACTTAAGCAGTGCCGACGCGTAACTACTTTGAAGTACCTGTTCAACATGCTCAATAAAAAAAGTTCTATTTCTAAAAACTTCAGATAAGGCCTTCGAACTTCATGCAAGTTCTACAAAATTCGGGAAAGTCTTACAAGTTTCAGGAAAATCCTGTGAACTACTGTGATGACCTATGACGGTCAGGAAATCTCTCCGAACCTTCAGAGAAGTTCTACAAATTTCAGAGAAGTCTTACGAACTTCAGGGAAGTCCTTTAATCTTTGGGGAATAACTACGAATTTTACAGAATTTTCTACAGATTTAATGTAACTTCTACGACAGCTTCAGAGAAGTCTTCAATACTCTTGGGAAGTCCTCTGAACTTACCATAGTTCTCCAAGCTCAAAAAAGTCGATTGAACTACAGGTAGTCCTACGAAATTCATGGGAGCTCTCCAAACATCAGGGAATTTCCAAGAAATTAAGGAAAGACCCACAAACTTTTGGAAAGCCTTATGAACTGTAGGGAAGCTCTTCTAAATTTAGGGTCCTCATATATTCAGTTAAGTCCTGTTAAAACCTCTCCCTCGACGGAAAAACGAGGCTACTCGCCCTCTTCAACGACCTATGGCTCCCTAAGTCGTATCCAGACCTCTGGAAACAAAGCCTGGCAGTGCCAATTCCGAAGAACAACGCGGCAAGTGGAGAAGCCTCCTCCTTTAGGCCGATTGCGCTCACTTGCTGCGCGGCAAAAGTGATGGAGAGAATGGTAAATCGTCGACTTAGGCAGTTCCTGGAGTCTAACAGTCTCCTTGACAAACGGCAGCATGCATTCCGGCAAGGACATGGCTCCTCCACTTACTGTGCAGCCCTCGGGAATGTACTCAAGGAAGCCCAGGACAACGGTCACCATACGGAGTTAGTATCCCTTGATATTTCTAAGGCGTTCAACAGGACGTGTACGCCTGGCGTCATCAGGCAGCTTATCGGCTGGGGCCTGAAAGGCCACATCACGCACTTTGTACGGAATTTCCTCCTTGATCGTACCTTCCAGGTGACTGTCGGGAACACTCGATCGGATCCGTTCCCCGAGGAAACTGGAGTGCCCCAGGGATCCGTCATAGCGGTTACGCTATTCCTGGTGGCAATGAACGGGGTGTTCAGCTGACTGCCCAAGAACGTGCACGTAATCGTCTATGCCGATGACATACTCATCGTCGTAACGGGAAGAACGACTAAACGGACCAGGAATATTGCCCAAGCAGCTGTCTCCGCCGTCTGCGGGTGGGCGCTTTCTGTTGGTTTCCAGCACTCCGCTCCAAAGAGTGTACGGTGCCATATATGCCACTCGCCCCATCTGATTCGGGGATCACCGATCACCATCCAGGACCATCCAATTCCGCTTAAGAAAACAGTACGTGTTCTGGGGGTAGTTCTGGATCGGACTCTAAGTTTCGAACAGCACTTCAGATCGGTGAAAGAAAACTGTCGTAGCCGCATCAACATCGTCAGGACAATCTCCCGCCCGCACCACTCCAGTAACCGCGAGATCCGCCTTCGTGTCGCCCGGGCTGTTATCGACAGTCGACTTTTCTACGGCATTGAAATTACCTGCTTAGCCACCGAGAAGCTGAACCGCATCCTCGCTCCGGTATACAATACCTACGTACGCATCGTATCCGGCCTTCTACCTTCCACGCCTGCAGACGCTGCTTGTGCGGAAATTGGAGTCCTCCCTTTCCGCTATCGATCTGCTGCAGCTACTGCTACGAAAGCCACTGCCCTCGCTGCTAAGACATCCGGGAATGATAGGGTCTTTCTCCTCAACGAGGGGAACAGAGCCCTCCGCACTGCAGCCAACCTTGACCTCCCCCCGGTGGCCAGGGTCCACTGGCATGAAGAGAAAATTTGGCGATCTAACGTTATCAAAATAGATAAGCGGATTAAGAGAGGATTCCAAGCCCGAGATAACTCTGTAGCGTTGAGGCGTTCAGTTACAGAACTTCTTGGGTCGGTCTATCCGGGGCACGTTCATCGCTTTACGGACGGATCGCGATCACGGGCTGGAGTGGGACTCGGAGTTGCAGGACCAAACTCCGCAACAAGTCAAAGTCTACCGGAGGAGTGTTCCGTTTTTTCCGCAGAAGCCGCTGCTATTCTTGATGCAGCCATCACTCCTGCAGATCAACCGATCCTTGTGCTAACGAACTCACACAGCGTCATCCAGGCGCTGGAAGCCGAAGCCCCGCGCCACCCCTGAATACAAGCCATTACACGATATGCCCCACCCTCAACCGTTTTTACGTGGATTCCCGGGCACTGCGGTGTTCCTGGAAATGAGGCTGCGGACAGGCTGGCGGGATCCGGTTCATCTGGTCCCCGCTTCACCAGGAACGTACCACTCCTAGACATCAAGCGTTGGATCGCGAATATTATCATGAAAGCCTGGCAGGAGGAATGGTTTCAGTCGCGGACCACTTTCCAGAGAAAGATCAAAGAAACCGTACGACCCTGGCTAGACAGCCACAAGTACAATGACCAACGGATCATTTCAAGACTCCGGACCGGCCATGCGAGGATTTCCCACAATTTTGGTGGGACACCCTTCCACAAGGTTTGTCCAATCTGCAGCATTCCTGCCTCGGTGGAACACGTGCTGTGTGTCTGCCCAGAGTTTCAGAGGCTACGCTAACAACACCGACTCCCAGAGAACATCAGGGAGCAACTTGGCAACGACCCCTCGACGCTGGCTGCGCTTATTGCTTTCTTGAAGGACGCCCACCTGTACAACCAAATCTAGCACTCTCGTCGTTGGCTGCGCTGTCCGTGTTCTTCCACCTTCCTATTTTCCTGCTGTCGGGGTATCTCTGCCGGACTGGGGCACTGTCTCTTACGGTGGAGCTCAACCTTGTTCGCGCATCCATTCCTCACCACAGTCCCGATGTAACTCCCATTTTACATTAAGTAAAGGGGCGAGAGGTTGTTGAGGGGGGGGGGGGCGATAGGTTGTTGAGGGGGGGGGGGGGCGAGAGGTTGTTGGGGGGGGTGAGAGGTTGTTGGGGGGGGGGGGCGAGAGGTTGTTGATGGGGGGGGGGCGAGAGGTTGTTTAGGGGGGGCGTGGGATTGTTATGAAGGGGGGAGGGGGTACATGTATTGCTTTTCCTCATTGTGGTCACGTCGTGATCCACCTTAAGCCGCTGATTTAGTCCTGCTTACTGCTGCTAGGACCAAGTGCTACGCCGTCCGAAACGACAATGAGCAAAATCATGACAGCAGCGCTGTTCTATATCTTTTCAGGTTCAGAACCTGATAGGATTTCCCGCAGTTTTTTATGAATGGGGCGGAGCAAAAAGTTTCTTTTGTGCAGAATATGTAATAAAGGATGGACTTTGTATGTTAATATAATTGCATATATAGAGGTACCAGATATGTTTTACAGTCAGTTGTTGGTAATTCATCGAGTGTATGTCTCCTATTAAGCAATATTTTTTTTTTGAAAATGTTGGCTCTACATGTAAAAAATTAATTGTTCATACATTATTGGGGTTTTGCTTAAAATTTATTTCTCGAAAAAAAATGATCGTCATACATAGTCCATGTCTTTTTCGGGTTATTGTTAAGGGGTGGGGAGGGGGTTGTTAAGGGGGAAGGGGTTGTTAAGGGGGAGGGGAGGGGGTTGTTAAGCGGGAGGGAGTTTTGCATGCACGTTTTTACAAGTATCTTTCATCATTGTGGTGCACACGCCGTGATTCACCTTTAACCGCTAACCTAGTCCTGCTTGATGCAGGACCTAGCGCCACGCCGTCCGAAGCGGTAATGAGCAGTGGCATGAGAGCAGCGCTCATTTATATCTTTTCAGGTTCAAGCA